TTCTCGTGATGGTGATGCGAACCGTGAACCAACATGGCATGGAAAGTTTGCGTCAGGAGTTCATTTAAAGCGCCACTGAATGCACCAGTAGAGAGGCCCTTTAGCCCATTAAAATTACATTGAATGGGTAATGGTAAAGAAACAAAACAGCACCATACATTACTTGTGAGTGGTGCTTTAACAAGTGAAAGGGTGGAAAGAGCGTTGTAAAAGGGGCATTACATGCAACCATTGTGCGGGATTGTGCACCATCGAATGGCAGGATTTCCACACCCACCAGTAATCGTTGGACAAATGATGTGAAATTGTTGCGCAAGGAAGAAGTGAGTTTAGACTGTGGTTGCACACGAAATGGTTTGCCGTTGGAAGGGTAACGATGCACAAGATTGGAGTGGCATGTGGTGGGGCAGAGGCAGTGGCACGTGCATGAGGGTAAGAGAAGACGAGATGATGGTAGAGGGCGTGATCAACCGCCACAGCAGCGGTTAGCGTCGGCGTAGGTAATGTGACATCAGAGCCACCCACTCGCAAAGCAGTGGCAGTGCAAGAGTAAACAACTGCTAGAGTGGGTATAAAGGGAGGTGGTGCAGACGACGCGCACCATGTTGACACACATTCGTGGTGCCAGCGCCAACAGCCTACAGCATGCCATTACACTCAAGTCTGGTGCATCTGTTTCTCGTCCTCCTTACCTTCTCTGCATACCGCGTCTGCGCTGCCGTTGTGCCAGACGGCGATGTGGCAGAGAAATTGGAAGCGGAGGTGTCCGAATTGCTTGCCCTCCTGGAGGAGGACGAGGCGGAGGAGAATGGAGGCGAGTTGATTGTGGAAGATGTGAATGAAGGTGGCAGTGGGAGGAGGGAGGTGCTGGTGCCGGCTGGGTGGCGTCGCTTCCGACGTAGGATCAGCGGTGCTTTCCGACGCATTGGTGGGGGCATTCGAAGGGGCCTCAGGAGAGGATGGAGAGGTCCTGTGAGTCCACACCCATACCCAGGAGCCAGATTCCCCTACTATGCGCGCTAACACTGACGCACCCATGTAGCATGCAGATGGGTGCTGCTAATCCTGTACAGGTTTGAGGAAGTGCGATGTTGACACAGATGAAGGAATAAATGAATGCACATGAATGAGTTGGTGCACTTGAGAGTTGAGGTGAGTTGAGGTGAGGTGAGGGGAGGGGAGGAGGGGACGGCATGTCGTGACGTGAAGGTTGTTGTAGCGTTGTCAAGGCGTGCAAAGTGGGAAACGTCTACGTAATTGTGACAAAGTATGCGGTTGAGGAACTGGTGTCCTAAGAGGGAGGTACATTTCACTTTTTAAAACGTTTGGACGAATAGTCGTTCTTGTCTCGTGTCCACATGTGTGAAGTTGGTCTTTTGTTGTTGCTCGACTTGTCGTGTCCGTTAGGCTCTCTTGTACGAGAGCACGATGACTACCCACCCGCTCATCAATG